CCTTGGTCTGCTGCCAACAATATTGGATCTGGCCACAGTAAGCAGTCTGGTTTGCTTTGCCTATTAATTGGTTATGCTGCTTTCTTCTTAGCTTTTTTAAAGCCATGCTGAATATCAGACAGGTTCTTTTTTGGGAGTAAGACGCAGGGGGAATCACAGCAACAGTCCAATCTTGGCTTTCCTGTGCACTTGCAACTTCTTTCCAGTTTTTAGCACTCCTTTTTAACCCAGGTTCAGCCCTTCCTTTCTATATAGATTCCTATTGCAACTGAAATGCTCCTTACTTCCTACTGTGTCTAAATTCTCTCCTAATATTCAATCCTAAATAATTTTATACTGAATAATGTTACTTGTTCTTCTTATTCAGAAACAACTGCTCATCATCTTTGAAACCTCCAATCTATTATCCATTTGACTCACCAGTTCCTGAGGTCCCAAACACAATTTCTAAAATGTTTAAATTTTGTGAAAACTGCCAGATTATTAACAGGCAGATGAAGTACCCTACTTATGTGCAGAGAGTAAAAATATCAATACTACAGTGCAAGCTTTTCCCATGCCACTCCATTCATTTATTGCCATCAACCCCAAGAGAAATTCTGCTAAGGAAAGGGGATTGAAATGAGTCCTAAGAGCCTCATTCACATCAAGCTACTACAAATAACAAGTCAGGTAGGGACAGAAGGGTGTGCAGGCAGCTTCTGGATGCTGAGCACGATATTAAACAACCAGCTGCCATTGTAAAGTTCAGATAAATACCAAACTACTTTCACTGGTCCTTCAGCTTCAACTTACAGGAAAACAACCAGAGTCCAGCAAAGAAAGGGCAATTCAGGCGAGTTATTTTAATATAGCCGAATGAAAAGTGAGCATCTCAGGAAGAGCTCCTTAAGCAAAAAGCATATATATTCTACCTGCTGCACGGCTGGGTTCTCACTTCTGAAAGCTCAGGTATCAAGACACCTCCAGCAACAGAGGAAGGGCTACTAAAGATGCACAATTTACACAGAAATACACCACAAACACTAACATTTTGTAGTTAATAATAGGTCAACTTTAAAACAGAACAGCTTTTCTCTGCACCTCTTCAAAGACCATCATTCCAATGACTAAAACAGGCCACTTATTCTGCCTCTCTCCAGCTTTTTCTCTTTAGTTTGACTGGCAGAGCTGTTCATCAAGCCACATACAGTGGCATATGTGATTTACAACGTGAAAAGTACCTGGTAAAGGAACTTCATATTCACCAGAAAGGACTCAATTTGAAAATGTCCTATCACCTCAGAGAGCAGCTCAGTCATGCTCTAGCTGTCAAGGGATAGATGAACACCTTGAATGAAAATAAGCACTGCAGCTTTGTATTCCTGAGCTGTAGCATTTAGCACAGTGTTTTGAAGTGTCTGCTAAAACAGAAAGGATTTCCATAGCATCTGTTCAAGTGCTGTCTCCAGACACACTAACAGTAAGTGGAGTGTTCCCCTCCTTCAGATAGGTCTCTAAATCACCTAGAATTTTTGCTGCTCCTAGGTTTGGTGTTTCATGTAGATTTTTTTTCCTCATAAGTAAATCAAAGCATAATTAATCAAAATAGATCTTTATTTAAAAACATCAGCACATCATAAAGGAAATTACCTTGACAAGCAGGGAGGGATTCAGCAGAACACAAGGTTTCATGGAGGTAACCTTTTTTAGGCTATTTCCTCTAAATGTTTTCATTTCCCTTCTAGAACTAGTTACTTTTGCAGGTCTTGGCAGTCACCTACAGTTTTCCCAAGAGGTCATTTTTCTCTGTTTACTCGTTCTAATTCAGTAGTACTTCCAGATATTTTCATGAGGAACAAATCAAAAATGATCCAAATAACATCCCTTGACTGAGGAAAACAGCAGTTGGAATATGAATAGAAAATGAAAACAAACTCAGTGACTCCAAATGCCACACTTTTTCCTGAGCCTAAGCCCAGCTGCTTTGGTAGCCAAGCAACTTTTCAATTTGGGCAGTGGGGAAATAAGATCTCTATCTTTTTCTAACTAGGGAAGCAGGTAGTGATGGTATTTTGACAGGATCACTACATTCCATCTAAAGAAAACTATTCCCTCCTACCACCAAAGGAGAGAGGAACAGTTTCATTATTCCATTCACATATATTCTTCTTGTAACATTGAAAGCAAGTTTGTGTCTTAATGCCATGGTTTGAATTCATGGGCCGAAGATAACCACACAAAGTTTTACAGGAAAGTAGACTGTTTAAGAGCTTTAGTGTACTTGGATTCACAGCTGACCTGACATTTGACAACACATTTGTAAAGTGACATTTGCCAGGGCTGTAACTGCTAGCCAACAGTGCTGGGTGCATTAAACAATGGTGAGTCTGAAACCTATTTTGCAGCAAGACTGATCAGTTCTGAAGTGCTTGTTATGCAACTGGAACATGTACTTACTGATCCATAAAATTAAACTAATCATAATCTGTGCCCTTTCCCCTCAAGCATAACCATTTAGTAAATAAGTAGCTTATTGAGTCTGTCATCTCTCACCTGGGCATGCTTTCACATCATGGCCATACATCCTAAAAGGAGGATTTTTTGGACTTACACCTATTGACTCAAAGAATGAAGCTAATGTCTTCAGGTGTTTCATGAACTGCAAGTTTCCGTGAAATTTTAAATCTTCCTGCAAAATCCATTTTACTCCCAGTAAGTAGTTCTGTCTCAAATTCAAATCCCAAAGATGGTTTGTAAGCTTCATGTCCTGAAATGGTTAGTGCCAGAAAAAATATTAATATGCACTACACTGATCAAATACACATATTTCTCCCTGACGTCTTTCTTTATCCAGCAGAAGCCAGTGTTTCTTATGCTGCAATGATACAATTCTCCATAAACAAGATGCCATCATTTCCCCTTTGCCTCCAGCACAGCCACACAGTCCCATCACCTTCTCCAGGTGGGGGTTGAGCTCAAACACTCTATTCTACTCTTCAGTTGCTTAGATCATCAGTAAAAAAGTTAGCTTTAGCAGAAAAGCTAACACCAGTACACAACGCAGCAGAATAAAGCTTAAATTCTTCCTTCAGCAACAGTCCAGGGTAAAGCTACACTTTATCCTGTAAGTGTAAGTAAAGTAAGTAGGTCACCACTGCCTAAATGTTCCATGAGAACAGTCCCATAACAAGATCTCTGCTTCTGAATTGTCACCTATGGAAATAATATCTCCAATAATAACAAGGGGAAGATTCAGTATGAAAAGCAGAAAAGCCAATAAAAGATGCAGCTCATACTTCATATGCCATCTATCAAATATAAATAGTGATTACCTCTGATTAGTCCCTTTAACACTTCCCCCTGTCAATGCAGTTGAAAAGGCACTTCAGAACCAGACAGATCTTCTAAATTAGTAAATTGAGTTTCCTGTGTTCCATCTTCAGGGAAAAGGAATGACTGTATAATTCACTGCACAGCGTAAAGAGAGTCAGTTTAGGACAGGCAACATCAGAACAGCCGAGCAAAGAGGCAGAACAGAAGAGAATTTAAAAACAATTCTCTCTAAAGATGCTTCCTCATGAAGTGAAATGAAACACATTCAGAATTCAAAATACTTTAGAATCACAGAGGACAAATTGCTCATAACAGACTACTGAAAGTTGGACAAATTTGCTCCTAATTTTCAGAAGTGCTAAGCATCTTACTATCACCTTTGGAAGTTTATGTAAATAAGGACTACCAGGCTCAACTGGACATGAAAGTTAAGCGAGGCTTGAGCACAAGTGTATCAGTACAAACCTTACCTAATTGCAGTAGACAAGAATTTTCCCTTTTAAGGTGTTCTTCTCTTCCATCCTGCCCCAGAGAGGTATATGAAGAACAATTCAAGTTTTACTCAAGTTAACTATGTATTACAAAGAATAAAAAGGCTCCAAATACTCTGGATGGCTGCCTAACTAGAAAACCACAGACACTAACCACACTGTTCTCATGTGTTTCACAACCTGTAATACTAGCTTGGCCCAATCTATCAGGAGGTGAAGACAGACATTCCTGCTTGCACCCTGCAACATCGTAATTGCCCTGCTGAAAAGACATTTACCTGGAGATGTAGTTTTGTTACTACAGAAAGCTGGAGGCAATGGCAAAGACAGGTATCAGAGATGACCTGTATGTCAACGCAAAGAAAGAAGCAATAACTAAGTCTCTTCTGTACTCGCAGAAAGTTATGTGCATTATACTCCTTCTTTTGCAGTGTTACAGTAAAAGTCACACAAAAACTCCTGTTTTATATAAATCCTATGAAGCAAGACTCATCCTGGCATGATAAATGATGAAACATACATTAACTTAAGCCTAGGTACACACAAAATCCTGCTGTTTGCATACACGCTTCCTCTCCACATTTTCTGTTTTCTCCTTTCTCAAGATGTTCAGCCTGGTCTCCCATCAGTTAAAACCCAAAAGAATGTTATAAAATCTGTACAAATGAGTACAATGTAAATGTACATTGTAAAATGTAGAAATCTGTAAAAAACTATGAGGCAGCATATAATAGCAAGTTTATTTTGACAAGATGAGAATAATAAAATTTATGTTCTCTGTATCCATGTTCTCCGTAACATCTGAAGAAAAGTCTACTAGCTTTAGAAAAGAAAGAACAGCATGATTATTCTTACCTAGCAATATCAAGACAATTGTGTTAACACAAAAGGAACCTGGCTATGTTTGTTTAATCTACATAATAAGAAGGGAACGTTCCTTTTCTGTGGAGAAAAGGCTCCAGACAGAAAACTTATCAGAATACTGCTCTCCCAAGGACTCTTCTCTGCATGGCTTCAGAGTCTGGTGCTGCTCTTCTGCACCTACCAGAGTTGAGAGGCCTCCTGCAGCTTTTACCAAGCTGCTGCTTAGTAAAAAAAAAAAAATTCCTCCACCACTACTTAAATTAACCAGCTTAATCTTAATCTCTTAAATCATCTTAAGAACCATATCAAACAAAAATTCCAAGACACTTCTAAAAAGAATGACTGCTACTTTTATTCCAAAAATAAACATGTAATGAAAGATCAGACATATAAGTCCCACAATAAGACAATTTAAGCACTTGAATATTTAGCTTGATTGGGAATAAGAATTTTAAAAGCCTGAAATAACCTTTCTTTTTTTTTTAAAAAAAAAGCCTTTTAAGCTATAATGCAGCTATCTTGTTAAATGGCACTGTAAAAGCAAGACAAATTGAATACTGAATTAACAAATGACAGCTCTTCAAGAATACTCTCATTAAAGTTACTCAAAGCACCAGAAACAGGTTGTGTTTTAAAAATTAAGTTACAGGAAAGCTTCTTCTCTTCCCATATCCTTGAGGATCTGCAAAAATAGTTGTGGGAAGCAGTGTATTGGTAAAGTGACTGCCAACAAACTGCCTCACCTCACACAAGTGATTGATTTATCAGTTTAATACAGCTGTAAGCCTGGAAAAATGTTCAAGCCTTAACAGTGAACCACTAGCAAATAACAGACAACAAGCTCAGATGGAGAGCTGAAAATACATACTTGTGAATACAGCATATGTTACATTTTCCTTTCCATCAGCAGTCCATGGAGATTCCAACTGCTATGATTTCCAAGTAGCTGACACAGCCCTTGAATTCTAGTGACAGATCCTCCCAGCATTAGTGCTGGGTCAGTAGGGAGCGCTCACAAGATTTTCATAACACTTTGCTCAGTCTAAAACAGAAGTCAGTACAAAGTAGCCAAAAAGGGTACGAAAAGGCATTCAGATTAAAAAGAAATCCTCCAGCCATACAGCAAAAACTGTATTCTTTGTCTGATGTAGAGAACCCCTGGATAATCACTGGGTGCTTCTATATTTACTGTAATTCACAAAGCTCTAACATCTGTAACTACTTGTACAAGAACTAAAAAGATATTAATAGAATGAATTTCTCTAAATTTCCCAAAGGGCCCTTTAAGTTACCTGTTACCCTCTAAATACATGACTGCCATACTATCTGCCTGTTTTTTTCTTTTCCAAGACACTTTGCAGGATGTCATGCCTTTTCTCTCTTGAGCTTCTATTTCCTTCTTGCCATCCTTGCAAATTTAACAGGACATTTCCTGCATAACTCCTCTATACTGTGAAACAGAAAAAGCAAGCTGCAATGCAAAAGAACAGGTATCACCTCACAGCCCGCACTGCACAATTTACAGCTGCACAGACATTTAAGCCTGTGTAAGTTTAAATCTAAAATAAAATAACATTTTTCAACAGATGAAGTGATCTCTTCTCACTTCATGTTTAATTATATTTTCGTAAACAGTAAAACATTTCCAGGTAAAACCTCAAAACTTTACCCATTACATAAGTATTAGAGATCTTGTTTTCAGGAGTTATTAGAATTGGACAACACAAGGTATTTTGGAGACAGAAGTCAGGGTGGGGAAGAAATCAGTTCAGATGAATGTTCTGTTTCAATAACCTGAAAATATTTTACTTGGATTTTAGAGTTTTTTTTTTTACTCTATGTTCTTTTCAATGTGGGAACAAAAATATTTTCATTGCAAATGATAATAAGTTTTAATTTAAAAAGGGGGGAGGGAGAATTCCAACATCACTGAAATATTATTAAAATTATATTTATTCTGCTGAAACTGATTCTGTTCTGTAAAAATTTCAGTCTTTAATTAAAAAGATAAGGCATGTATTTTTATGGCTGGAACACCAAGTCTGCAGTTCATTTCTCACTATGCACTGACAAACACAGCAAGGAAAAGGTCTCATGCAGGTTCAGCAATATCCATCACACATGGGGAAGCCTTTCCCAAGGGCCAGAGCTGCAGAAAAAGGGTGCTCACATGCTGCATAACTGCATCTGCAGCCTCAGGGAAATAACAGCCCTCAGTCACAGGTGGCTGATCTCAATATTGGTCTTTTGTTTTTGAGGTTGTTTGTTTTTAAAACAGTGATTGTTGTTACTATTTCTGTTGTAATAGTCAAGAGTGCATCACTGTATGGCCTTTGCTGTGTCTCTTGCTGCAGAGCAGAAGCAGCAGAACAGAATGGAGAACACGAGTGAAGGCAACATGGCTTTACCCTGCCAGAGCATCACATCTAACAGCTTGCCTAAAGGCTGCAGCACCTTTTCAAGTCTGCACCCTAATTAGCTTTTTCATGCCCTCTGACCTCTTGAAAGTCTTTAATATGTTCAAATTCATAAAGTCCTGTCTTTTCTACTACAAGGTCAACTCCCTATCCCTTTCTGCCGCATTTCATGGATTTTTAATGCTATATTTAATTAAAAATACAAGTTCTGTAGTCACCAAAAATAGAAATCAAACAATGCTGATCTGCTTCACGAAAGGAATGTATTATTGCTACTTAACAAAAGGATAAACCTCCCAAACACAAGAGCTTGCTGAAGTCTTCCTTATGCTCACAAGAGTTAGCAGGCTCTCTATTTAAGAGCAACCCAATATATTTCAAAAGTGAAATGTTATTGGAATGACATTCCCTTTTCCTCCTGATACTCTAGGGTGTATGCACATGCAATGCATGCCCACAGCACTAAATGCACATGATACTGAAGAAAAACCCTGAATTCTGGAACATGACAGCTTCAGTTTGATATCTGCTTTGCCTTTTCTTTCATTAGAATTAAATCTGTAAGCTGTGCCTTCAGTCCTTTCTGGAAAATTAAGGATAAAATTAGTTTTTATATTGTGAAGATAAATACAAGCAACTTAAAAGGAAACCTTAAACAAAAGCCATGCAATTAAATCTGTTTACTTATATCGGTCCTTTAAAGTCTTGTAGCAGGCTGAAAGAACAAACAATCTCTGAGGCAAAAGAAGATGACAAATGTGATGTGTGCTGCTGACTCACAGAACTGCATGCTTGGTGGAAGCAGTATTTCAATGTAGCTAGAACCAGCTCCCCGATTTGTCTCAAAAGCATATTTTAAAGTCATTAGTAGATTTGAGAGGAAAGACCAACTTCGTTAATTCTACAATAATTTTTACTCTAAGTTCAGCAATTATTTAGAAAAAATGTTTTCCTAGACCAACTTGCACATCATCTAGACCATTATAAACGAATCAAAGTTCAACTTAACAAACACACCTTACTAAGGCAAGTCAATAATGTTGTTTGGTACAGTCAATAACCAATTCAGCTACGTTCCAAATCCATTTAAGAGTAAACATGCAAGTATTAAACAGTTTATTAACTAATACCTAATGGGTACATAATAATTCATTTATTGGAGTTAGTAATTCTGGCTACCCTAGTAAAAGGACTAGCATCGTTCATCATCATCCCTAGTAGCCTCTCTATGACCTATGAAGCAGACATACAGATGTAATGGCCCTGTCATGTCAGGCAGACTCATCCTTCCTTTTGTCTGAATACAACTACAGAATAGTAGAACATAGAGAAAAACAAGAATCTAAAAAAAAGGCATGAATATAAGGTATCATCTTTAGACCAAGAATATAGAAATTTCTTCCCACTATTGCTACAGCATTTCCTATAGCAAACCATGCTGCACATGCTGCCATGTGCACGATCAATTTTCATCTAATAATCAAAGCTGATTGCCATCAAGCAATCTGCTTTGCAGTTACATAAGACATTGCTTCCATCTCAAATGAAGTGCTCAGGATAAAAGTGGAGCAGAAAAGTGGTTCAGAAAGCATATTATCAGGCTCTGGGTGTGTTTCTTATTAGACCTCAAATAGCATTAGCTAGCACAAGCTTATAGCTTGTTTCTCAACAGAAACAAAACAGCCGCATAGCACAAGGTTGGGGGGAGATGTAGCTTCAGCTACACCCCTACCTCAACTAGAGGTTATCCTTATCCTTCCTGTACTGACATAGGTTCCCCACACAGGGCTGAGAGCTGAGCTGGTGAGAGCCAGGACACTCATTCTACCCTCCACTGTTTAAAGAACAGACACAGGCAGGGACATTTAAGTCAATTGCACCCTTTCTTTAAGGTCATTTTTCTATTGCAGAACTGTGGGCTTTGAATACAAATTCTTTCCATTTCAGTTTTAGCCAATCATCCTTGGCATTAGCCATGTAAAGATCCTAATTTTTTCCCCTACTGCTTGCTTCAAGTTCTAAAAAATCATAATAGGTGCTTAAGAATCTTTTCCTCTTATACTTCTCTTCATGTTACACAAAGATTAAAAATGCACTTTTAGAATGAAATTCCCATAAGTTTTTGGCCATCTAACCATATACCAATTATAAAGAATCTAGATGGGACAGCTGCTTTTTGTCTGGTATCCTCCATTGCTTTACCTGTGCCCAAGCCAAGCAGATGATTGCAGCAGCTCTTCCTGTCATCCATGGAGATCAGCAGCAGTAGCCTGGACACAAGCTAATCTAGCTGCAAGTGGCTGTTCTGCTGGGAGCAATGAAGGTGACTCACCATCCTGCCAATGCCTTGCAGAGCTACCTTAAGGTGAGTGTGGAGGGAATTATCATATTTTTTACTGACAAGCTACACTGAAGATATGAGAAAGATAAAACCGCACCAGTGTCAATAGCAATGGAAATTACTTGCTTGATCTGCTAGCAGCCTCAGGTAGAGAACATCACAGAAAGCTTACCTTTGTAATACTGCATTTGCAAGCAAAGCCTAGCCAGATGACAGTCTTAGAGCTTCCTATCTGTAAATCACAGCTGAAGAAAAGTTTTATCAAAAGCAGCTGACAATACAACTCCCTTTCTAGTCACCAGCTCAGCCTGAATCCAGTCTATTACATACATACTGAAAGTTTCTTACCATCTTACTTGAGATAGTATTTCTGAGTAAAAGAACTGTACTCATACTGTCCACACCCCATCATTAGTTGATCTTTCCTTCTTCCACTTTACCCGACTACTTCTGAACAAATGCTCCTAAGAAGATTAGTCCAAACCTGAAAATTTGAGGCCTCTTCCCCCGTGGCTGTCACACAGCCACAATGAGGGGCTGCACCGGGCTGGTTACGCACAGGCACCACGGTCATCTGCCCCACACAGTGCCCTGGCAAGGCTTGTCCTCCTGCTCACATGTAGAGGCCAGCCCTTCTCCCCCCATTCCCCAACACTGTGCGCAAAAAATCCAAACAAAGGCTAAGAAATTTGAAGGAAAATATATCCTTTTATGTGCCTTGTTTTCTTTGGAATCAAAGCAGTAGGAAAGGTGCCCTTTCACCTTTTCTCTACCTAAAACATAAATAGGTTTCACCATCATCTCTGCCAGGCAATGCCATTAGTATAGATCCATAGCACAGCCTTCCTAGGGCACACTATGGTTTTGCATTCCTCATTCAGAGCTGAACACTGCTGAACTGAATTCATTTTAGTGGAAGTTCTCCCAGAGTAAAGGCAGCTGTCTAAAGTAGATTGAGACCTCATTTTTACACATATTTATGTGGAGCTATCCTTTTATAAATTAACTCTGGTTAAAGTATCAAAAGCTTTTTAAGAAATACAAACATATCAGCAAAGTCCTAATAAAGGCAGGGTGACAGAATGAGGAAGAATACAAGCAGAATGACAGACTAGATCCTTTCCATATCTAGTATTATTTCTGTGATAAGCTATTGAAGCTTATGCGATGAGCAATCATTTAAAATAAAAGATTGTTTTTAAAAACAATGCTTTCTAAAGGATGATTTCCAGAATCCCTCAAAGATGTTTCTTATGAGCTGAATTAATTTTTGCTGAATTTGAC